TTAGACTATTACTCTCTTTTTGGGAAGGCCTAAGGAGACATGAAGTGCTATTAAGTACACATTGGTAAAAGGATTATTAATAGTAAAAATACAGAGCCCTAAATAATTATATCGTATGTATATCACATAATAAAAGACTATTATTATTATTGCAACATAGCTCAGTAAATAAACATCAGTTTTGATTTTGAAAATACAATAATTTTTGATATAGTATAGCCTTTAAAAAAATAGAGAAATATGTGAAGCACTACATATTTCTAAAAATATTGAGAATTTTAATATAATTTTATAAAAGATACTATGAAAACTAAATAGCCATTGCCCACATATAATCAATAACCTGGATAAAATATAAAAACAGATATACAGAAAATAATATTAAAAAAATGAATTCAAGAGTAAAATTAAATAATAAGGCACAACAAACAATAGAACTTGTATAAGTACACATGCACACACAGATATAGGGAAAATAAAATAGCAAAGTAAGATTAGAACAAAATCCAATCTCAGAAAAATAGTGACAGTGTGAGAATTGAAACAGCAAAATTCCACAAAAAAAATATGTTTTTAATAAATTTTAGTTGCATGATGAAATAATGATTTTTTTTATAAATATGTGGCGACCAAGAAAGAGAAATATTTAATAATTACTTACAAGAAAAATCTAAATATGAATTTATATATATATATATATATATATTCTTTTTTTCCCGGTTGGCTCTACAGACCTAGTAGATCTTTGGCCACCTGAACCAGCCTTCTCCACCTCTCCCTATCTGTGGCTACTACTTACCAGTTTGCGTTATGAAGCTCAGCAGTATCTTTGTTTATCCTCTCTATCCATCTGGTTTTTCGCCTCCCATGTGGTCTCTTGCCTATGACTCTGGTATTCATTGTTGTGCAAAGGCATACTGATGGATTGCTACGAGCTACATGCCCCGCCCATCTAAACCTCCTTGCCTTCATGTCATGAGATATTAACTGACCTGTTTCTTTCAGCAGTTCTTAATTGTTCCTTCTCCTCCATGTGTGAAGTTTTCGCACTTGCTATTCGCTGGTATATCTCTGTTGATCAATTATTGAGGCTATTGTGGAGCCGAGGTATTTGAATCTGACTACTTTCGGGAATGACTTAGAGTCCACCCAGATCATGTTATTAGGGTGGATGTTTTGGCTAACTCATGTATTTTGTTTTATGTACATTGACTTGTAGTCCAACTTGTTCTTCTTCTTTTAACAGTGTCCGAGCAAGTTTCTCCTCAATACCCTCTTGATTACTTCCGAGGACAGCTATATCATCCGCATATGCTATGATTTTGTGTTTCATTCCAACATGCAACCCTCCATCTTCGCATGATGTTGTTCTAATTACTTTCTCTAGTGCTCAAGTTGAACAGCATTGGTGAGAGTCCATCTCCCTGCCTCAAACCCGTTCGAACTTCAAAGGCTTCAGATATTTCTTCTTGTATTAGTACTCTACATTTAGGATCATTTGTACACATCTTCGTCAACCTCACTAACTTCCCGGGAACACCCAGCTCAGTCATGATCTTCCAGAGACAGTTTCTGTCCACGGAGTCATAGGCTACTTTAAATCGACAAATAATGCATGTACGTCCTGATCTACTTTCCATCGTTTTTCAAGTACTTGTTTTAGGATGAATACTCCTTCCTCTCCTAAACCCTGTTTGATGGTCGCCTATTATGTTTTCATAATACAGATATTTCCGAAGTAGAATATTAGTCATTATTTTATAGGCAACTGGAAGAAGTGCTATGCCTCAGTAATTTCCACATTCATACATGGAGCCCTTCTTAAGGATAGGACAGATCAACCCTGTGTTCCATGTCTTCTCCCATATCTTGTGGATTAGATCCAACAGCTTGGCTCTGAGGTCTTCTCTCCCATCCTTGAACAATTGTGATGGTAGGTTGTCTATACCTGAAACCTTTCTTTTAAGCCTGCCGACAGTTGAATATATATATATATATATATATTGATATGTTAAGTTAACCTTAATGCTAATTGTATTGTCTCCATATAGAAAATCATCCATGACTATTTATGCGTCAAGAGCCCGAAACTTCTATGATGGATAACTAATAATAAGATATTTAAAATCAGGAGAGATTTTCTTCATATTAAAATCTATAAAGTTAATAAGGGGCATCTGTGGAAACTTCATGGAATTCCATGAGTTTTTGAAGTCATTTTTTTATCATTTAATTATTCTTCCTGTTTAATTATATATAAAAAGTCCGTTTACAATTCATTGTCAATGGATATAATTTATCCTTCATTGCCATGAGAAAAGTAAAAGAAAAACGTCTGACTGCTAACTAAATTTAGAAGTAATAAACTTAACTTATCTTTGTTAATAATTGATTATTACATACATATCGAATATAGCAGTCCGCATTCTACAATTTCTATTGTAACAAAATTATAATTTTTTAAGGTAATGACTGGAAGGTAAGTTAATGACTGTTTTTAAGGTAATTTATTTAGCTAATAAGTCATCTATGTTTGTAATATACATGACAAAGGCCTCTCTTTTGTATACAAATACAAATTTTAAAATAGCCTCTTTGATACTAAAAACAATGGAAACATTATCTGGAATTTTTAAAAACTTTAACAAAACCAAAAAACCTTCTTTGGGCATAAATATACAAAAACAATTCACACATTGCCTTTATAGGTAGGTATGTATGTGTATATGTATATATATATATGACCTTAATAGAAAAATAGTTTTAATTTAGCGGTAGGAAAGTAACAATATTTGTAGAAAATCTACTATGCCTGCATTATACCTAATACTGGTTCAATTTCAATCCGATAGAACACGTTTGTGTACTTTTCAATCTCCATGTGTGCAATAAAAATCCCTTTTCTAATATTCATAAAAAGTAGGAAAAAACTTTTTTCAAAGTGTTGTTTATACCACAGGAATTGGCTGATGACTTCTGTAAGGGAACAGGAAGGTAATTGAATGTCAATTCCTGCCAAGGCCTATAGCGTGAGCTATTAAATTAATTTTATTAGATACAAATTTTCTAAAATTAATAATTTTTAGCTAAAACCCTAACTTAAATTAACTATTTTAATTATATATTAATTTCCTTAAATTAATTATATATCAATTTTAATTAATTTAACAAATTAATATAGAGGTGATGTATTAATTTTGTCCAGCATTTATTTAAATTAATGGACTAAGATGTGCTCAAATTAAAACCCGTATGATGGTGAATAAATTGTTGATCATAAATGTGATTAAAGATGCTGGAGGGTAGTGCAGTAAAACACACAGATAAGATGACCTTATTTTTAATGTTTAATAATGTATCGTCATAAATTGTAAACCTGCATCAGTGCTAAGCATAGTATTTTTTATATACATTTTTATATAAAAAGTATTCTGTTGCATCTTTCATATCTTATTTTCACATTCATTTCAATTTTCATAATTATGTTTCGCTTAGCCCTAATGAGGGCCTACAAAGTAGGCTGTAACATGATAAAAATAATTTTATCTTATTTGTGTGCTTTCTACTTAGGCAACCAATTTCTACTTGAAAAACCTTATGGTGTTCCTTAAAAGAGAATACTATAAACATTGAGACATCTTTGAAGCAATAAATTAAAATGAAAAAAAGCATTTTCTGATGTGTTTCATAATTTTTACCTAAAATCAAAAATAACTCTTTGATCCTTAAAATGAAGCAGATCTATTCTTTCTTCCTGATTAGTCATAAGAGGGAATGTCCACTGTACTCAGTAGTTGTCAGAATAATTATTGAATATGCCACAAATGCTTTGAAACAGTATAATGATAATAAAAGAAACCTATAGATTAGTACATTTTCAGTCAAATGTGTGGAGGACAAATGAAAAAACTGCACTGTTCACTTACACTGTGAGTATATTACATTAGTTATCTCTTTCTTTCGTACTTCCATTAAGCTTTAAAGCTACATTATTATCCTTCAACTAGCAAATATATATCTTTAACTAAACAGCTATTTACAACAGAAATACTTTATGAGAAGCCATTTCATATTCCATTTTATGTCAATAAAGTGATTAAGTTAATTTTGGTAATAAAATAAATCTTTTGCATAAATAATAAAAAAAAATTATAACTGTAAAAATGCTAGTGAACATTTATACTTTTCCAAGAAAAATAATCTTTATGTCTTTTTATACAAGAAATCAATCCAACCAATTCTATTTATGAATAATAAACCAGTAAAAACTGAATACACATAAATAAATAATAATTAACAAGCCATTACTAAAAACTGTATTTTCAACAGTAAGAACCCAAAATGTGTAAAATGGAATAATCCCTTAAAGATGCAAAAAATTATTACTTTTGTTAAATTTATAATATTGATACATGGAAAACATAAGAATTCTGACCCAAGTTTAAATAAGCTCCTCCAAGTATTAATATCATAAACTAAATAAAAATATTATTTTTTAAGCTTAAGATATTCTATCCTAATTTCATACATCTTAAGTTTTTAGTTCCCGATTTTGTACATTTTGAGTTTTTTACTGTGTTTTTCAGGTTTTTACTTAACAAAAATCTGATCTCTATTACATTGAATAAAATTTGAAAAACTATTGCATAACTTTTACGTCAAAACATTTGTGGAACTCATAATATTATCAACAAGAAAGTTATCTTAAATTCTTGAAACCAATCCATACCTGTGCTTGGTCTTTATCTGAAAATGTAGTAAAAATATCTTTCGGAGTATGTAATACATGCGTTTTTACATATTCACCCCATTTTAATCTCAGTAAATATTTTCAATTGTGTTTATAAGTTTCTTTCCAGTCTTACTAAAGTGAAACTAACTAAACAAACTAAAGATTATTTATATTATGCTTTCATCAAGCATAATCAAAATTTTAGGTTATTGCACATTTGTTTCCAAAACTGATTGAGATAATGGTGTGTGCTGAGATACAATATGTTTTATAAGGCTTGACTTGTAAATAGTTCTATGAGGGCAATGGGGGCACTGGAGCTGCGCTTCTCTTCCACACTCAAACTTCTCATGCCTCCTAAGAGAGGAAGAGTAGAGGTATGTCTTATTGCATGTAGCACACATGTAGACCTTCTTTTCAAGGCGAGCATGTGCTGCTGGAAAGAGAAAGAAAGCATTAGCTGAAAGATGAGTGACTAAAGCATTGTGACAGCCATGCAAAGCACCGCTACCAAGGCAAGGAGCAACTTACCTTCACTCAAATTATAATTTACAGACTTCTCTTATCATTAGACTCAAAAGAGTTACTATCAATTGAAAAAAAAAAAGAAATAAAAGGGTAGCCCATTTTCTTTTCTCATAAGTTTTTTTTTTTTCTCTAGAAATAAATTGTTTCTTTAAAATAAAGTATTGTAAATATTTACACTATATTTAACTCTTTGTAATAGATTTGATTTCTAATGAAAAATATTACAAAAATCAATCAAAATCTGGATACACGAAGTCATTGTTAGTAACAGAAAATATTCATGAAAATTTCATACTAGAAATAATTTCCTTTCTTGAATAAATAACAAGATTACTTAAAACATACTTAAAAAGAAGTTTTTTAGATTGCAATTTAACAAGTTAAAGGAAAAAACAAATTTCTTTGCAAATACATAAAGGAAACCATAGAATAATATTTATTATGGATAATGACATATGTTTATAATAAAAATATAGTATTTCTCAATATGAGAAGAAAATTATGTCACAATTTTTTATTAAACCTTTTCCAAATAAATATTATATCTAAATGGTGATTATAATACTGATCAACATTAGAAACAATTAATCATTTCACTAACTAGCTTCCTTTTTAGCTTAAAAAGATATAAATATATCACTTTTACAAGTACAAAATAAATATATTAAAAACATTATACCTGTAAAACCATCTTTGTCAATGAAGATTGAATATGTACACATTGAAATAAGAAGATAGCTTATAAAAATGTACAATCAAAAAATATATATACAAGATATTTTAAGGAAGAGGCTTTGTAAGTCCTATTCATTAAATTACATGCTATCAGACCCGCAGTTCAGCAATATGGTTTTCAGCCATGTGGACAACAAGAGACCTCTTACTACGGCCTCTATACTTGCAATAAGGGCACAGCTGGTTGCGGAGAATAGGAGCAGCGAGACATTCGTAGATGAGGTGCCTGTAGAGGATGACGCCCTTTTCATAGGAGCGGATGCAGTAACTACACTCATAGCGGCCTGAGTCTTCATTGTAGTGGTGTAACATCAGCTGGCGAATCCTGTCCCGCACGTAGACAGGCTTCTTGTGTTTCACAACTGCACACACACAATGTGGATGGAATAATATTACTTTCTCTATAAATACACCGATATTTCAGAATAGGGTTTAACAAATAAATGAAACATAATAGTATTTGTTTAATATGATATATTTTTCTTTCTTTTAAATACTGATAAATTACATGATATTGAAATACAGTAAGTATACATGTAAAAGATACCTCTCAATTTACTGAAATCCTCTTTCTTATGATATATTTTTAAGACCAAATATTAACTGAGTGTTAAAATGATAAAAACATTGATATGAATAAAGAACACAGCAAGTTGTAGGCATTAAAGGAAGAAAAAACAAATTTTTGAGTTAGGTAAATTTACATATAATATTGAAATGATCGCTATGAAATAACAATATCTTCTTACATTTTAAGAATATATTAATATTAATTTAGCAGGGGAACATTAATTGGTAAGCAGAAATCGACTGAATGGAGTAGGGTATCTTCCCTCTTTATTTATGGATAATTATGGATTTTCCTTGCAACAAAACAGAACAGTTACATTGTATAAGATGGATCGTTATTTAGAATCAATATTCGCAAAAAAAAAAAAAAAAAATGTATAATAAAAAAGAGACCCTTTTTATTTAACATTATTTTGATTATTTGGCAAATATCTTTCCTTCCCATAAGTAATAAAATTAAAACTTAGATAAAATTAATTAAGTTTTTTTGAAGATCAAATCAATTATGAACAACAAAAAGACAACTAGTGAAGGATTATTATTATTAACATATTATTTATTATTAACACATTCTGGTCTTGATATGTAAAAATACATTTTTTTGCAAACTGAGTAGAGGTTGAGTCACATAGTTGTATGATTTTTAATGATGAATAGTAAATAAAGCTGAATGGGTTATTAATGTTTGTTGTTGCCCTCTCTAATACAAATTACAAGCATACACATAACAATAGATTAGATTGTTAGTAAGATCAAAATAATAACAGTAAATCATATTAAATCCCACTCAAACCATTATACACCAGCACTAAACACCCAACCACAATTTGTTAATTATAGAGAAATTTTACTTTTAAGTAATATAAATCAATAAACAGAGGAAAAGATACTATGGGGTAGGAATGGACTTGAATGTTAATATATCAGTAATAGTTAGCCATTGAATATATTAACAATCTATACTAAGAGAAACATGCTTCCTATAATATTACAGCATATAAAAAAGAACCACCTCCTAAGTTGAGACAGCAATAAGTTAAAATTGACACCATAACTAAAAAAAAAAAAGGTGGTCTATGTTACCATTGGCACACTTCTTTAACTACTAATTAAATTCCAAGGTTTATGTGAAACATGAAAAAATAGCTGCTTTTCAAATATCTTATGGAGAAGTTGATCAAACTTATTAATTAATTAATATATTTTATTTAAATATCAAAATTGTAAAAGACATAAGATATTTAAGATTGATTCCGATTTACTCATGTTAATATAATATTATAGATGATTCTTTACTGCCTCCATCTCAAAAGTCTTCCAGTTAATCTTGAAACTCCCCAGACTTAATTTCTTGTACACAAAGTTTTATAATAAAAAACAGCTTTAGAAGGTAAAGAAGATGAAAGGTTTTTACAAAGGGACCAGGATTGGATAAATTTAGTGATCTAAAAAACCTTTTTTTAACTTTAATTGTATTAGATCAACTTCAGCAACTTAATGAAGCAAAACAATAATAAGTCAAAATTAATATTTCAAATTTTCTTTTAAGTTAAGGGTTTTATAATTATTAAAAGTTTAGTGATAACTTTAATTAACACTAAAGCTAAGATTACCGGAGTTTTAAAGTTGGCAACGGGTTACAAAGGAAATATTTTCACATAAATAATTAATAAGAAATTTCATAATGGAAAACTGTTATGAGTCTAAAGTGGTGCCTGATCATGATTGAATTGAAGACATGCAAATGAGGAAAATAAGTAAAAAATACTCCACTTAAACCCGTCATTAATTTTATTATAAACTATAAAGGAATTAATGACAAGGTGGAGATAAATCACTGGAGCTAAAAAATGTTAACATAAAATTCATCAAAGATGAAAAGAAAAATAATTTGTCCATTTCAACCCTGGAAGAAAAGAATTGAGGAAAACGAGCACTTCCACTCCATGTTTAAAGACTAATGACACTCAAAAGTGATATTATGATTGCTGTTCAATCTATTTTCCCCACACAGAGTGACAGATTCAGACAGGAGGGAATGGAAAACCCTAGGTTCCAAGCTATACAATAACTCAATAAATGATTTATACACCACGGACAAATTTATAGTTTATACTGAAGATGACAATAAAATTCAAAGTTATAAGCTGAATATATGAGTTTTGAGAAATAAAAAATTTGGTGCAAGTATCACACGATTTTCACTTAACACCCTCTTCTTAGCAGAAATAAGTATTTTCTGACCAAGGGGAAGTGAAAGTAAAAATTAGGAATGGGCTATAGTTGATAGTACTATCGATATATCGATAGTTTAAAACTATCTATAGTTCGTAACTTCCCCTTAGACACAAATCATATTAAAGATAAAGGAAAACGGTTATTGTATACCTAACAGAAACGCCACTTTAAGAAAATAAATAGATAGAAGAATGAAGACGTGTTTAAACTATTCTTATCAGTATACAAAACTGAAATTAAATTAACAAGAAGAAGCCTTCAAGGTAAAAAATAATTCAATCTCAAATTACTTTCTTCGAAATATTTTTACAACTCCAGCTGTGCCAATGGAAAAGAGTGTTACATTTACCTCACCTTTTTTAATTTCTTTTCATAAAAAAAAAATATAATTATAAAATCTACAAGGATGCCATTACAGTATTATTATATTTTAAACTAGGTGTTCTTAGCAAATTAAATTTAGAATCTTGGAAATTAAAAGACACAAACAGACACTGTTTTAACCAAATAGTTAAAACAATACTATCTATATGTCGTTGATGTTTTTTGTTTGAATTCAATGATCGGGAAATAAATGCAATTTATTTTTTTATATAAATGTATTTTCCCTTCAATATTTTTTTTAATAATTTGTATTAATGCCTTAACATTGATCTTTAAGAATATATCTAATATAAATGTTAATAATTATAAAGCTTATACAGCATTTTAAAGTAAATAACCGATAGTGGAAAACTATCGACTATCGCCTATTCCCTAGTAAAAATTATAGACACTGTATTTATTTACATATTTGTATTTGTTTAATACCCTTCTATATACAAATTTGAATTTTTAAATTGCTGTAATCTATAAAATTAAATAATACCAATGATAGCATTTATGGAAATCGCATATGTATATATACATATTGTCGGAGTCCGTATTATATTAAGCTCATGTACGTCCTAATCTTTCAAGCGAACTCGGGTGCCCTCATATTCCTTTGGTTTCTCCATTACAACTATTATCCGTTACGATCTCTTATTTCTCCTTTAGTTAATTATCAAATTCTTTCATACTTTATACTTTTTATATCAGTATTTTTATAACTATTTTTTATATCAAAGATTAATGTGCAATGGTTAGTTATTTCAAATAAAAAAAATTAAAAGTACTTTACTTTAGAGGTAGCTAATATAGAAAATTAGCCATTTAAGCCCGGTTAGAGAATTTTAACAACCACAATACTGTCCCTTACTATATATTTTCATATATAGGTAAGTGAAAGTAAAAAACATGTTTCCTCAAAATTTTTTAATTATTTGGTATTACCTGCCCTACCAAGAGGGTCTCCCCATAAAATGTTGCGCAAGGTTCCCAAAGGTCTAGAACCACCACTGATTACATAAAATCTATTTTCACTGTTTTTAGTAATATAATAGATTGGTTGGAAAAATAATTTTGTACATAACTTAAACACTTTTTAAATTATTCAAAGTATAATCTTTAAAACAACTTGTACTCCATTCATCAAATTACAATCATCTCAGTTTTGAAGCCTAGTGAAATTTTTATATTGACTTTCTTTAATTTAACCATAAACTGTATACTTTTTGACTTAGGTGTTAGTAAATTTTTTTGAATCTGGAAAGTTTTATAAATAATTTGTTGTTTTGAGCAAATTTCCATCCTGTAAGCCTCTTTTCTTTGAGAAATACCCACCTTCCATATTTCAGTAGACATTCAAGAAGAATCACAGTTGAACCATTCCCTACATTGTCTGTATTACATAATTCTAATCATGTTCTTTTTGTTACATTATCAAAGCCTTGCCAGAAGGTTTCATGACCTAAAACCACTTCCTTTACTCTTCATACATTTCAAAAATTCTTAAAAGGACAATACACAAGGAAAATGATGAAAGAGAATTTATAAATAAACTTTATGTTTGGATGATTTATCTGATAATGATATAATAATATTAAAAACAAAGGCTAACTAAGAAAAATTAGATCTGAAATTTGTCTCTTCCAAGAAAACAAAACTACTTAGATAATATAAACAAGGGGTCTCCAAAATGTTGGCTCGCGGACCACATTGAGGCCTCCACTATGCCCTCCGGTCCCTATTAAGATCTCCTTGTAAGTCCCGCGGGATATGGCTTAGGATAGAAAAACATATCTTGTTCTATTACACTTCTGTGGTGTAATGAGCTTTTTAAGAGAAAAGATTCGTACAATAAATATTGTAGTAGTCTGTGAGCCAGAACTCCCTACTTACCTTACACCCCCTCTTCCCCCCGCATCCTCATAAATTGCATATCGTTGTGTTCCTTGTAACTATTTATTTAAAAAAAAAGCCAATGTTCCCACAAAAAAAAAGTTAATGCACTGGCTAAAAATGGAGTTTTTTGGTCACTGAGTATCGGCATTTGGCTTAATTTCGTCATAGTTGGTCTTTTATTAAAGCTGGATGGTCAGATAATAATAAAACATTAAAAAATAATTGGCTTAGGCAATAAA